GGGGGGGGGGGGGGGGGGACATAGTCCAGAGCTGGATTCTGGATGCCAGGCCTTGGTGGGACCTCTGAGAGCTAAGCTGACCCAGACATAGGTGTCTCTCCTGGGCCATGCCAGAGACAGCTGTCAACGTCTTTACTTTTAGATGACAAAATGGGAGACACAAGCCATCACAAAAGTTAATGCAAGAGGCCACCAGCTGCTGTGCTTGTTTGAATTCCCAGTTCCAGTCACAAAACAAAACCAACAGAGCAACAATAAAAAATACCCTCAGATGTGGCAAGTTTGACTTTCCCAAGATGCTCAAGTTTTTCTTTTCACTGGGCTGCGCCTTCAGAGGAGAAGACCCTGCCTGGCCCAATCTCTTCATAAACAGTTTGAGTATCAGTTCCAATGTCGCTCAGCACCCTCTTCCCGGGCTGCCTGGTCTGGCCTCCCTGCTCCTTGATGGCATCAGCCTTTTCAGGGATGGCTCCTAAGATGAGGGGCCCATGCACATGGCCCTCTGCTCCCTGCTGCAACCACCTGCAGGTTGCCAGCAGGGGTGAAGTAACTATCACCACGTCACCCTGCACAGAGGGGGCAGAGCCCCAGATGTCCCATCAGCTGAGCCCCACTGGCATCTGGGCTCCCGTGGGGCCAGCTGGCTCTGCACAGGGCATCACTGGCTTGGCTCTCACTAGAATGGGCAGGATGAGCGCAGATGACTGCAAGACCAGCCACTGAGCCAGTGTCTGGGTGGCCACAGATGGACCCACCTGATCTGGGAGCCACTGTGGCCCAGGATGCAGAGGAAGCACAGCCTTGACCTCTGTAGTACTTGGGGCAGGGGACTGACTGAGAAGAGGCGGGAGTGGGGGAAGCGACTTCTTAAGGAGGTGGAAATGTTCTATGTCTTGACTGTGGTGGTGGTGGTCACACATGCACACAAACACACACTTGTCAAGACACTTAAACGGGGTGCTTTATATTGTGTGTATGTATATTAAGCTCCAATAAAGTTGATTTTAAAAGATTTTTAAAAATCTGTATATTGAGGCTTGACAGCAAAGGGAGAGAACCATAATAAATTAGCATCTCTTATGTCCTGGGATTTACACATTTTCTCCCTAATACCCCTGGGACGAGGCTCTTTACCAAAGAGGCAACATTTGTTCCCTGTTTGACTTTCAAGAAAAACAGTGGGCCCTGAGATACACAACTATTTGTGGATTCTCGAGTCTCTTCTAATAAAGTATTTCCATGTTTCCAGAGGCCAGTTCTTTAGACGCCTTGGTTTAAAAATAGAAACACACCACACTTAACAGAGGGAAAAATGCAACACATTACAAGGCCTGATCTGTCCCAGCTCAGATGAGAGATGGCGGAGAAGGGGCAGGAGGGCTTGTGGCCCATCAGCCTCCCTTTAGAGTGGGGGTTGGTGGTGATTCAGAGGCAGAGACGATCCAAAGGCAGGACGGACAGCCCCTACCCTGACTCTGCCACTCACCACCCACAGCTCTCCTCATTGTGCCCACGCCCCGTCGTGCCCACGGAGATGGTAGGCCCGGCTGAGGAAGGGGCTGGCCATGAGGGCCACC